GGGTATTGCTGAGATGACAACTGCAGTGATGGCTACGTGTGATCATGGCGTGGTAGCAAAAATCAAGAGGGTTGTGATGGATAGGGATACATACCCAAGAAAATGGGGGTTGGGGCCAAGGGCTGCTATGAAGAAGAAATTGATTTCCCAGGGAATGTTGGATAAGCATGGGAAGCCAAACGAGAAAACACCTCCAGAGTGGCTTAGAAATATGGTTTTGCCAACTGGTGGAGACTCCATGATTGCTGGCCTTGCAGCTGCTGCGGACTCTGTCAAAGAAAAGAAGGAAACTGTGGAGGAGAAGGACACTGCTGCTGTTGAGAATGAAAAGAAGAAGAAAAAGAGCAAGTATGATGATGGTGGAGAGGGGCGCAAGCGCAAATTGGAGGACAGCAATGAAAGCCCTGCTCCAGTTGCTGCCAAGAAAGCTAGAGTGCAAGAAGATGAGAATGAGAAGAAAGGGAAGAAAGAGAAGAAGGAAAAAGAAGGTGAAGTGGATGAATTAGGATCTGAGAAGAAAGAGAAGAAGAAAAAGAAAAAGAAAAATAATGAGGATAGTGATGTGAAAATTGAAGAAGAGACAGAAAGTGGGAATAAAAAAGAGCACAAGGTTAAGGTTGATCCCGGTTCACCTGATACAGAGAAATCTGAGAAGAAAAAAAAGAAGAAAAGCAAGGAGACTGAGGAGTCTAGGGACGTGGTCAATGGTGAAAATGTTGCTGAGGCTGATAAAAGTGAAAAGAAGAAGAAGAAGGACAAAAAGAAGAAGAAAGATGCTGAAGGAGAGGATTAGATAAAAGTTATGCTCTCATTTTCCAGCGAGATGACTCATGCTTGTTTTCTGGTCTAGATCTTATGGCATCTAGGATGGCTGTTTATTACTGATTTCTTATTTCAATGTAGCTTCAGGGAGGCCAAATGTCTGTGGATTTCTGCAGGTTTGCTATCATTTAAAGCTAAAAGATGCCACGCCTGAGGAAGTTTCATTTTCCTCAGACAAACTTCATGCATGTTGGATAATGGAAATCTTATGGTATCTAGAATTGCAATTTAGTTAGTTCGTTTTCCAGTGTAAGTTTCTGCAAAAGCGAATGTCAACAATGAGCTCTGCTAATCTTATATCTTTTCAGTTGTATCAAGTAGTGAAACAATTTTCCATGGTTATTTATGTTATTTAACAGGTTATTTTTTCCTCAACCATGATAATTAATAGTTACTACTACTTAATGGCTTCGGATCCTTTGTTCTTTTCAGGATGTTTGAGTTTAAGGTTTTTGATATGCTCGTGACTTTTCTTCTTTGTTTCACACTTCCCAGCTCCATGTTTATTCTATTGCAACTCTGGAATAGGATTTTTTCTCTTTTAAGTGTATTTCATTTTTCGTTAATGTTTATTATGGTTTATAGTAATTAATTTGAGAAAAAAAAATTTCTTGAACTTTCTGGAGA